TATATATGACTAGTGATAAATTTATGAATGGCGATGACCAACAGTATTTAAAAACTTAAAGTGACAACAAAAACTACTGCAGAATAAACCAGCAATTAATAAAATAAACAAACGACCACATAATTCATTTATGTCGTAGTGCATGCTGGGAAGTTAAGTGGCAACATCACATTGCATTAAAATGCAAATATGCAGCTGTCATTTATTTGTAATAGACTGTAGATCTACGACTGTAAAAATTACTGTAAAAATATGGCATCTTGTAGCCACAAATAGACTGTTGAATACCTTTTTTCAACACTGATGAACCAGTCATTTCATTTGGGCAGTTTAACTGGCCTAACTTTTTTATTTTTTTTGGACAGCAGATATCAACACAGGTTAGTGAATGCAGAAAAACGTATTGTTTCTTTCCCAGTTGTATGTCAAAAGTAAAACATTAACTCTACAGGCTATGTATTTGTATGACAGTTCTGCTGTTTTCTGTACCTTGGCCTTTGACTTGAAAAAGGAGGAAGGCATCAAATTATACTGCATGTGGGAGACAATGGCTCGTGGTGAAGGGAGTTTATCGAGGACCACTGAAGCTCGTGTTTCCTCCAGCCATGGAGCCCTGTCCCAGTTAGGGACGGTTTCCACGGACGACAGGTCTCCTCCATTCAGGAGCGGAGGAAGAATTTCCTGCATCCATGTGGTACCTAAAAACACAGGCAGAGATCAACGTGGATGCACTTCATGCATGAAAAAAATAAACATTTGCATTTGAATTACAATGCATAGAATAATGAACACATCATTATGCAGAATGCATTAGCCAGTGAAGTTCAATATTAAAATGTAAATTAATTGATAGATATTCTATAAAACAAAATAGAGTGATTTGCAGTCTGAGGAAGATCAATATGCAGACACTTGGATTGCATTCACAACAGAGTAACAGCCAAATAGTTCTGCATCGTTTAACTGCTCCACAATTTCTTTTTCAAACTGTACAATTCACATATATGCATAAGAAAAGAAAACGTTGCAACATTTGCAAAGATTAAAGCTAGGCATATGAGGAAAATGTGGTGCAATAAGTCTTTGCTTCCTGTGTTGCTTAATGCATGCGAGGAGAAATAAATTGTATGCATTGAAAACAAATAATGATCTTACCGGATTTTGGATAGGTAACAGCAAAGACATCGTCATCTTTGAATTGGAAATTCTGGAGGTATTTGAGACTTTCCTCTGAATGAATTACCTTAGGCAGCAGGAGACCATGGTAAACCAGATTCAATTCACTGTCCGCCATTCTCTGTTGACCAGACTTTGAAAAACAAGGACGTTTTGTTCACCGTGTTCTGTGTGAATTGACTTGTGTTTGGAAGGTAGGAGAGAGAGAGAGAGTGACGGTGAGAGTATTCATTAAGCCAACAGGGAGCCGTATATCTGCTGCTGACATTCACGGGAGAGTTTGGGGCAAAGGTTACTTGGCACTTACAAAGGGATATTTTATTTGCAAAAAAAAAAATAAAAAATACCTGAAAGGGATAGTTGCAAAGTCTTTTTTTAAGAATGAAAGAAATACTTTATGATTACTATATCCACAATATCTAGTGTACAAAAAACAAATAAATAAACACCATGAGAAAACTTTGAGAAAAGTTTAGAACCAAACCTCAATGAACAAATCAAGATAATCAAAGATGAAAAGACTGTTCAAAAGGGTTTGAAGAAAAATAAATTAAAAAGAATTTAAAATAAAGTTCAAAAGAAAGAATGAAACAGACTGTAAAAAAAGATTGAAAACATTTGAAAGAAAAAAGGTGTAACAAATCTCCAAAGAACAAAAGGAAAGAAAAAAACTTGAAATTTGAAATAAAATTCTATAGAGATTTTTAAAAAAGATCAAAAAATATATAAAAAACCTGCCCTGAGACATGAACACATGTGACACTAGAGTTTTATTACAGCTTGATTGTTTATCAGCAGCATCGGGAGTCAGCCATCTGATAAAGACAGTCTCTGCATGTCATATAATACATATGTGAGAGAGAGACCCATAATCCAAGAGTGAAACTCCACTCGGCTCTTTATTCAATTCTGTTCACAAATTTTGCTCAGGTGTGCTTATGGAGAGGGAAAACAATGCTCTTTGATTTTAAATCTGTAGGGCTGGTTTGTAATTACACAATCGTTATCGCTGCATGTAAACGTGATAGCTTGATAGATAGTTAATAAGAAAGGGGAAAACAAGTTCAAGTTATCACAGTGACTTTTCTATGAGGGCAAAATGAAGATAATGCATGTTTAGATCTTATCAGCTTGTTGATAATTGCAGCCAGGTATCCATAACAGTCATTTTAAAGTTTAGTTTAATGAACTGGCAGGCAACATTTCCGGAGGTTAAAATATAAAACCTTTTAGTCATATTTTAAAATCTGAAAACAGCCATATGTATAGGATATTTCTCTTTATTTATCTATAGAACTGAGTGGGTAATTATGCAGGGTTTCTACAGACATGAACAAGTTAAATTTAAGACTTTTAAAGACCTTTTTAATACCACCTTATATGAAATTTAAGACCTAAACCTGTAATGGAAATACACATTTTATTACATACATATATGTAATATTTAATGTGTTTAAATTAAAAAGAAAACAAAATATCATTGCTGTAATAAATTATATTTATTACTATATACAGTGAACTATTAATGTCAGCAGAAAATATTCCATACAAAATAACTGAGATTTTTGGTGGAGTAAACAATTTATTCTGAAGCAATATTTTCATCAGTGTTCTATCAGCTTTCACATACTTAAATCTGCATATTTTTATTTACCTTTACGAAGGCCTATTTTTAACCAAATTACAATTTATCAATAAATTCAATATACACTATAGGGCTGCTACCAGTCAGATTAAATAATTTACAGTGCAAATAACAATAATTACAACTGCAATAAATAATGTTATGAGATTAATGTTTTAAATGCATTTATTAATATACAAATAAGAAATGTTGAGGGAAAAAATTTCAACATACTTCTCAACTGAACTACCAGTAAGTGGCGGTAAGACACTTAATGAGTGAGTCATCGAGTCATTCATTCAACTGATTAATGGACAGCTGACTCCTAAAGTTTTTCATATTCTTCATATTCTGTGTGGTGGTCAGATAGAAATTAATCTTTTCCAAAAAGTTTAAATAGACTGAACCGAATCATTTAAACGAGTGATTCATTCAGGAACAAAACCCTGTCATGTTGCTCAAAGACACAGCGCTGTGGCTTTGTTTGGAATTATTTTTGTTGGCGAAATAGCGCAAAAACAGGCAATATGGTGTCTAAAACGTAAGTCTCTTAATAAAACTTCTAGTTTATTGAACTGTTGTAAAACAAAAATCACTATTACATTTGTATATGGTAATTTTTGGAGAAAAAAAGGCACTCTTCCGTGTGAAATTGATTAACTATAAGTGGTATAAATATACATATTTTCTGCTCCCATGTCTTGAATTTGTGATCATTCTGAATGTATTTTAATAGACTGAATCATGCAGTGATCAGGCAGAGCGCACTGCAAATGCACACGCGCACTAGACTTCACGTAATGCGTGCACTCTGTAGGTGTTTTGAATGTTTGTTTTGCGTCGTGAGAATATTGAGTAAAATAGCTCACTTGTCATGGTGTTATTTAACTATATCATGTTATGAATAAACTAAACATTTTGAATTTTTACCTCAGTGTGTTTCTTCTGAGTTTATGTGTGCTGTCACGCTCATTTGTTCTGAAGTTTCACAAAGAGACAAACAGAGTGAGCCTCAGCAGCACGACCTTGTATTCTGCTAACTTACTGCAATTCTCTCCGATGACGCAGTAACTTACCGCGGGGAAGAAAAAAATCTTCGGTCTAGGTCCGTCAGACTTAAGATATTTTAGCGGTAATGGGACCAAAAATATTTAAGACCCATCGAATCCGAATTTAAGACATTTTAAGGCCTTATATAGGAAAACGTTATTTAAGACATTTTAAGACTTAAGTAAAAGTTGTTTTTCCACAAGATAAATATTGCCAATAGCATATACATTACTGATACACTTTATACTTGTTGATATGACAGTTTTAACTGTTTTATGAACATCACCAGCAGTTTTTTTTAGCAGATACATTGCATACAACTGCATACCAAAATGTTTTTACTAACATGTTTTATAAACTGCATGCGAATATGTTTTGTAATATGTTTTTTTTTTGTGGAAAAGCTTATTTACAATTAATCAAAACCCATAGTTAACCATTCATGTCCCTTACATTCCCAGCAGCTTTATGAGTTTTAATGTGCCAGGAATACGAAGCTTGGCTGGACTGGAATAGCAGTTTTGTTTCTTTACCAGAACAGATTTGGAGAAAATCTCCAGACAACTAGTTCCTAGATAGTTCCTTGTCAAGGAAGCATAACAAAATGTGTGTGTGTGTGTCTCTCTCTCTCGCTCTCTCTCTCTATATATATATACAGGTGCATCTCAATAAATTAGAATGTCGTGGAAAAGTTCATTTATTTCAGTAATTCAACTCAAATTGTGAAGTGGATTGGTCTTATGAAGTATTCTAATTTGTTGAGATAGTTAATTGGTGGGTTTTTGTTAAATGTGAGCCAAAATCATCACAATTAAAAGAACCAAAGACTTAAACTACTTCAGTCTATGTGCATTGAATTTATTTAATACACGAGTTTCACAATTTGAGTTGAATTACTGAAATAAATGAACTTTTCCACGACATTCTAATTTATTGAGATGCACCTGTATATATTTATACATGTATATATATATGTATGTATATGTTTGGTTTGCTCATACATATATGCTAATTCAATTCTACCATACAAAAACTGCAAAAGAGTTTTGTCCCATGTGGTCTTTATTAATAAATTAGTTTGTCGTTAAGAAGGTCTTTCTTGGAGTATGCTTCACCATAACTGGTTTCTCTCCCAAAACTGTCCAAGTATTCTTTCATACTGAAACCAAATATTTATTTAGTTAATTGAATAAAGTATAAACACATGTTCACTAATAACAGTTATACTCTCACAGTCTCCTTGTGGCAGATAAAAAAAGTCAACAGCATTCAAAGTAGGAATGTGGATTTGCTCTTCAAATACTTGAAATGCCCCTTGAGTGGAGGCACTGTACAGTATAAGTGTTTAGTTGCTGTGAACGAGTGTGACGAATAGGAAGAGTGAACACAGGGAGATGGCACCAGTGAGCACGGCCTTCACTAGGAGAGCCATCCAGCTGCCCAGGAGGAAAACATGAACAAACAGTCTGGAGGAGAGACACAAACATTGAAATAAACAGTTATGTGCAGTAAAAACTCAAAACAAAGAGCAAAAGATTTCTTTAAAAGGAGACACAGTGACTTCATACGTAAAAGCATATCAACATATTACACTTATTTTTTTCTGCAGTTTATAGTGTGCATGTATTATCATATCCGTAAAACACCCGGATGACCTACTACACAACACTAATACTGTAACCCACAATGCAATTTTCCTGCAAAACTGAAGTGGCATTCTACTGTATTAAATGTTTTATGCTGTGTAATGCATTTCACTTGCTATTTAAAAAAAAAAAAAAAAAAACAGTAAGTAGTATACAGTGCATAGTATGCAATATTCAGTACGTAATAAGCTAGTGTTTAATTCCAAACACAGCCAGAAATTAAAGCAGCAATGGCAATACAATCACACTTAAGGCAACAGTGCCATCAAGTGGACAGACGAACAACTGCATCAGTCCTAAAAAAACAGCTCTAATGTATTAATCTGTACTGTATTAAATAATCCTTTTTCAATGAATTGTGATAAATTAAATAAAAAAGCATCTAATTATTATACAAACTGAATATCTAATTGACTCATTTGATTTACAAGTTAAATGAAATGATCAGTACTAGATTAATGTGGGTGGATTTAAATGATACAGAAATGCTGTCCAATGTTGAAAATTACAGATAATTATTTTTATGTCCTAAAAAGTACTCCACACGGCTCCGGGGGGTTACTAAAGGCCTCCTGAAGCGAAGCGATGCGTTTTTGTGAGAAAAATATCCATATTTAAAACTTTATAAACCCTAATCTCTAGCTTCCGCTGTCGTACGTGTGTTCACGAGAAAGTGGCGTTCCAGTAGGAGGACGTAGGCATAGCTCCGGTGAGAAATGACGAACGCGGAAGAGCAAGGAGAGAGCAAAACAAAACTCCGGTCACAAATTAGAAGTACAAAAGCTAGAGATTACGGTTTATAAAGTTTTAAATATGGATATTTTTCTTACACAAATGCATCAATTCGCTTCAGGAGGCCTTTATTAACCTCCCCGGAGCCATGTGGAGCACTTTTTATGATGGATGGATGCATTTTATTGGACTTTCAAAATCTCAACGCCCATTCACTGCCATTATAAAGCTTGGAACAGCCAGGACATTTTTTAATATAAATTTGAATGTATTCATCTGAAAAAAGAAAGTCATATACACCTAGGATGGCTTGAGGGCGAGTAAATTATGGGGTAATTTTTATTTTTGGGTGAACTATCCCTTTAAGGCAGAATAAAGATAAACAAGTACGACTGTGATACTCACTCCATGAGAAAGCCCTTATAAACACACAACCCCAGCAGGATGGTAACAGGGAGTCGAAAGCTTTTGGGAAGGTCGTATCGAGTGAACATCCATACTACTGCTGCCATGGCAATATAATGTACCTATTATGATTAAAAATTTCAGGAACAGGATAAAGTAACAGAAGTGAGTATATCGGACTTAAAAGTTGTGTCCCAATGACTATACATACATACATACATACATACACACACACACACACACACATATATATATATATATATATATAACATTTAATATTACAATATTTTAAAATAATTAGTAGATAAGCTCTGTTACAGTGAAATAAATAAATAAATACACACAGTACATCTGTGATGCAGATTTTTTTATGCATACAAACACAAAAACTAAAGCACAAAGCAAGCACATATCTTACCAGACTGATGTTGGAATCAAAGCTCATTTGAATGTATTTCCAGTCAAACTCAATGCCACGAGCTCCCACCCATAACGGAATACATCTGTTTAGAATGAACAGACAACATTTTTATTACAGTACTGTTCATTTCTCAAACTTGGGACTCCAAAATCTTGAACAAAAGTGCATAACCAAACCAGACACGTTAATTTCTACTGGTTACTGGCAGTGAAAATCTGTCATGCTTGTGATTGACAGCATATCTCTCAGGATGATCAGAATACCTGGACATGATGAGTTCGGCTGTAGCCCAGCCCATAGCTGCCACCATGATCTTATATTCACCCTTCCCAGCATTCCTAGACATAACCAGATGAAGACCTAGAAGATCAGCCAAGTCCACTGTGGCCTTCATGAACTCCTGGGGTTAACAGGACATGAATGAATGAAGTTAACATGATTATTTGCACTGTCAGCATGGCTGAAATAATAATGTGTGAACAAGTTGTGAGCACAAAGCCTTAAATGAATAGTTCACCCAAAAATATACATTTGCTTACAATGTTCTCTGTTTCTTAATCCCAACAGATTTGGAGAAATTCAGCATCACATCACTTGCTCACCAATGGATCCTCTGCAGTGAATGGGTGCCGCCAGAATGAGAGTCCAAACAGCTGATAAAAACATCACAATATTCCACAAGTAATCCATACGACTCAAGACCATCAGTTGACGTTTTGTGAAGTGAAAAGCTGCGTATTTGGAAGAAACAAATCCATCAAGATGTTTTTAACTTTAAGCCATTTCTTCTGCCTAAAATACAAGTCCTCTATCCATAATAGACTTGTGCCGGTATTCGGTAATGCGATATATCATGTAATCCCCGGGAAACAAATGTTAGTATTTTTTAACGGGTCACAGACATTTATCCTTTCTAATTTAATTCAATTCTAATTTAAAATAATCTTGTCGGTTAAAGGTTAACAATCGGTTAACGAGCGTTGGTTGTCGGTTAGGAAAAATAACCGAAATGAACATCCCTACTGGTGATGGAAGCGTTATTATGCATTATGGACTCGTATTTTGCTTTTAAAGTTAAAAAATCTTAATGATGAATTCATTTCTTACAAACATGCAGCTTTTTGCTTCACAAGACCTTAATTGATGGACTGGAGTCGTGTGGATTACTGTGATATTTTTATCAGCTGTTTGGACTCTCATTCTGACGGCACCCATTCACTGCAGAGGATCCATTGGTGAGCAAGTGATATAATGCTACATTTCTCCAAATCTGTTCTGATGAAGAAACAAACTGATTTACACCTTGGATGGCGTGAGGCTGAGTATTCAGCCTCAGCAATTTTTATTTATTTTATTTTTGAGTGAACTGTTCCTTTAATATGCCTTGTAATATTTCGAATCAAAGATATCTATATAAATGCATAATGAAAAGCTCAAAAATGAATAAAAACAGTGGCACATTAACAGCTCACCCCAACAAAATCATACACGCCAGCTGCCCCCTCCCAGGTGGGGAAAAATGTGGCAAGAAACAGCATCTGAAAGTGATATCACACATTTACAGAAAACCTCACAACATTCTCTCTTAGACCCACAAACGTTAGAAACATCTTTGTGAGGCCCAAAGGGTTCACTCACCTTACACAGCTGCACAAAGAGGTAGGTAGCACCTGCTTGGACACATCTCCAAAATGCATTATATTCAGATCTGGCAAAAAAAAAGAAAAAAAGGAGAAGATTGAAGAAGATAAAAACAGTAAATCACAGCTAGAAAGAACATTTTTGTCTTTGTAGCATACACCATAAACGGATGAAAACTGTTGGATTATTATACAGTAAAAAATAATCACAATAAAAATGTAATTTGAAACGCGGAAGAGTAAAACTAATTATGTATAAGATAAATTATTTCCTGAACATGCCTCATATTGAACACATTATATTGGCATATGGCATATGACTTAAGAAGATTATACTGTACACTGACATTCTTCAGCATATAAAACAAACATCACATCTTAAATAATACATACTGCAGCACCCATATTGAGCCAATAATATCTATACAATTCCATCGAATTTAGCTCGATATAATACTTCAAAGTATGAAAAAAAATGATGTAAATACTTACAATCCACTACATTTGTATGCAATGAAATATGGGAAATAAGCCAAGGACAAACAGTTTCCGAAATGAAAAAGCGTCATGGTAGAACTTTAAGTGTGATTTATTCTCCTCAGATCCTGTTAATACAGAAAAATACCAGATATAACCTAAATCATGGTTAAATAAACATGTTTCATAAGTTGGATATATCTAAGATGACATGTATTATTTTATATACACCAATTTAAAGTTATAGCTATATTACATCGGTATAAATGTTGATATATATATATATATATATATATTTGGTTTATTAAAACGTCAACGTGTTAAAACACCACATCTAATAACGTTAACGTTACATCGGTATCAGACAGCGTGCTCAATTCGTGAGAAAATACTCGACATATAATTATTATATAACTTATTATACAAGGCATTTGTTTCTGGAACAAATGTAATACCTCTACCGTTAAAGACTGACTGTTTTCTTACCAACAAAATCGGGATTTTTTTAATAACAGGAGCAGGTCACAAAATCCTCCGGCGCATCACATTTAAATGTCCGAGCGGAACCGCTCTCTATCTCACTGTAGTTCCGCGTCTCACTCTAACTTCTTCTTCTTTTGGAGTTTTATGGCAGTTGGCAAACAAACGATAGGTGCATTCCCGCCACCTACTGGGCTGGAGTGTGGACCATTGATGGAATAGGAAGAACTAAAAAAAAAAAATGTATATAATAATAATAGAACAATTTTAAATAAAAAAATTAAACCCTTCTAAATCCTGTTAAACAGATCTACTTTTTTTAAAGAATGTCATTAAAGCGTTATGTATTTTATAATGATTCAAGCCATTATTCAACAAAGTCTTAAGTGTAATAGTTTCTATCCCTATTTCTTTTAATTCTTCAAACAGAAATGCTCTTTCATTATCATAAGCAGAACAAGGTAATAGTGCATGCTCTACTGTTTCTGGTAATCCACACAGACTACAGTTCCCAGACTCATGCTTATTCATTTTATACAGAGAAGAATTTAAAGCAGTATGGCCAGTGCGAAGTCTGGTAATAATTGTATCTTCTCTTCTACTACCAAAATGAACTCTTTCAACCTCAACTTGATTTTGAATATGATAAAGATGTCTTCCTCTCTCCTCCATCTCATTTTTATTGCTGTTCCAATTTTAGCCTTAACTTCTTCTTTGCTTAGTGGTATAATAATTTCTATATGTGATCATTTCAGTGCCTGTTTTGCTAAATGATCCGCAACCTCATTTCCATCCACTCCCACGTGTGCTGGAACCCACAGGAAACACATCTTAATTCCTATCTTATTCACTCTATACATACATAAAAGAATTTCATACAAAATGTCTTGTCTTGAAGATCTTCCACTGATAAGACTTGATAATGCAGAGAATGAATCTGAACATATCACCGCATTCATTGGCCGAGTATCCTCCATCCACCTGATAGCTAATAATATTGCTACCATCTCTGTAGTGTAAACTCCTACTTGATCAGAAACTCTTTTACCAATCTTGATTTGATAAGTTGGGACAAATACAGCTGCTGATGCTCGTCCTGTCTCGTGATCTTTGGAACCATCAGTGAAAATTGAGATTGCGGAGTTGTAATTCTGTTCTAGATACAGTTTAACCATGACATCTTTTGCTATTACTCTATTTTTGTCATTAATAATTTCTTGCAAATTAAAGTCTACTAATGGTAAAGGGAATAACCAAGGTGAAATGGGTGACACTACTACTGCAGGGCTCATTTCTACATTTATTATTCCACATGACTGGGCTTCTTCTTCTGCTATCCTTCCAAAACTTCTAAACTTGTCTGACTCATGTTCCCAACATTTTCCCAATACTTTTTTTAATTGGATGAGTTTCATCATGTCCCTTTACAGAAATCCAATAAGTCAACATCGACTTGACTCTTCTAATATCAAGTGGCAGCTCTCCTCTAAACATATCGCTTAATACACAGCTATTAAAATGGCTAGTTTTCGTGCAGGATACGCCTTAATATGCGTACGTCCTTGCTATATATTGTGCAAAAAGCAGTATGTCAAAAGAGTAGGATGCCTGAATATTCAGTAGTTAAGAAACACGAAGTGGTTCGTTCAGTTTGTGAATCAGTCGCGTCCATAAGGAGAGAAATACTGGATAAATTTTATAGTCCGACTATGCGATTTTATATTTACATAGTTTTCAGACTATACCCCAAGTCGTATAGTTTGTGCACTTACTGTATGCAAATATGATGTATCATATTTGATACATCAGGCTTTCATGGCACATATGGCTCATCTTGAGGGGAAAAAACACCTTAACTTTATTTAGAGGCCCGAACTGAGCAAAAATGTGCAATTTTTGTTATTATTTAACAGTTGTTATTTATATGGGCAAAAAGTAAGATGAAATTCTGATAGCTTGCAGCATAAATCAGTAAGATTTTATACAGTGTGAAACTACTTACATATACTGCATATAAATACCAGTTGTCACTCTATATCTCCCAATAATATGTCTTATTAATATATTTGCATGCTTGGTTTTATGATCAGTAGTTTTAACTGTGGTGGACAAAACATATAACGTAGTGAAACAGTGATGATTGAGAGTTGAACAAATAATCATTCCTTCAGAAGTTTGTTGTATCATTTCAAACTCATATCTATTCTTACTATTATTCTAATATATATATACATATGGATAATCAAGTAACCCTAAGTTGCTTCAGTTTGGTAAATGTTCATCTTGAAATTTTACTAGCAATATAAAAGTTATTCGATAGAAGTCTGTAGACGATTAGAAGATTTTGTAGAAGATAGTGTGCAGCAAAGGTTTGATCATCTTCAGAATTTAGAGTCCTTAGAAATTCATGTTTCAAACATAATACACAGTAAGCTTTATAGGGATAAGTACACCTTTTAAGAGACAGAATGATCTGGAACACATTTGTTTTTCCTAACACTTTAATTAGTTTCTTTTTAAACTGCATTACAGTAGTCTTTTACCTCATGTAACTTTGTATTAGTTATTCTCTTTACACCAACATAACGTGATTACACCCAGAATGGCAACAACTACAGCAATGCCTGTGAAGTGACACTGACACAAATACCGTCAAAAGAAACTAACACGCACACACAGACGTCTACAGAGACGAACGTCTCATAGGTGGGAACAGGAATGCTAAGGCTTGTCGCTATGGCTTCAGCTATGAAATGAGTGCATTGAAAAGAAGGAATGGTAGGGCCTTTCTGCGGTCGCAAAACTTGGTGAGTTACTCTTTGGAGTGCATGTACACTAACAGGTCAGCAACACGATGACTGTAGCCATATTCGTTGTCATACCTGTGAGAAAGAACAGGAACAAGAATTAGACCACTGCTTTTTCTGCAGACATTTTTTTGACATTTGGCAATAAATGTACCTCAATATTTATGCACTGTATTTTCTCTGAAAATATTAATTTTGACCTAACAGTCAAAATGTTCAATGAATAAAAAAAAATAAAAAATCTATATTTGACATATTTAGCTATTATTTTGGGCTTTCACTAAATAAATAATTATAAATTATAAAAATAAGGAATAATATTTAATTATTTTTGTATTTATATGCACTAATATAACAATGAATGACAATAAACAACAAATTATATCTATATGAATTTTTTAATAAAATAAAATCAGATGAGTAATATGATATGGGGGAGACAGTTTTGAATTGTTTTGAATCAATTAACTGAAAAAGACCATTTGAACTGATTTACAGAATTGAATTGTACTTCCTTGCCACTGAAGTTGAAAGTAAAGACACTATTAAAACATCTGTGTGAATGCGGTCATATTTATAATCTGTGTGACTAGGAAAATTGTGAATTTGTGTCTTTAGAAATTGAAATCATCGCAATATTTATAGTGAGGCTTTGTTTTATATCACCAACAAAAACATTGGAAATGTATTGTGATTATTTGATCTAGTCCATCCAAAAATTAAAGTTCTGTCATCATTTATTCACCCTCATGTCATTTCAAACTTGTATGACTTACTTTCTGTATGCTGAACACAAAAGAAGATATTTTAACGAATGTTGGTGACCAAACAGTTTCAGTTTCCATTGACTTTCATAGCATTTTCTGTCCATACTATGGAAGTCAACAGATTAACCATTTGGTTACCAACATTCTTCAAAATATCTACTTTTGTGTTCCATGGAATACAGAAATGCATACAGGTTTGGAATGAAATGAGGGTGAGTAAATGATGACAGAATTGTCATTTTTGGGTGGACTGTCCCTTTAAATCATGTTGTTTTTGAGCTTACCAGGAGATGAGTTTGACAAAGTTGTCATTGAGGGAGATGCCTGCACCGGCATCAAAGATTGAAGAGTGAGTGTCACCAACGAAGTCAGAAGAAACAACCTAAACGAAAACACAAATTAAATGATTCCAATTTCTGTCTATTATATATGAAAATATGCATGCGAGATTTTTACTGTTAGCACTTACTGAATCCTCTGTGTATCCCAGGATTCCCTTCATTGGACCATGAGCGGCCTTCTTGACAGCCTCCTTGATGTTAGCGTAGCTGGCGGGCCTTGAGAGGCGGCAGGTGAGGTCAACAACGGACACATCGGCGACTGGCACACGGAATGCCATACCAGTCAGCTTGCTACAAAACAAAGAGAGATGGTAAAATTCTCCAATCGACTTCAAGATTGATCAGTCGTCTTTTTGATCCGTCTTGCACTGACCCGTTAAGCTCAGGAATGACTTTGCCCACAGCCTTGGCGGCACCAGTGGAAGCAGGGATGATGTTCTGGTGGGCGCCGCGTCCATCGCGCCAGGCCTTGGCAGAGGGGCCATCCACTGTCTTCTGTGTAGCGGTATAGGCATGGACTGTGGTCTGTGAAGAGGTATGGAAAAGAAACAATGAGAAAGACACATAGACAGCCATTACTCCAGTCTTGAGTGTCACATAATCATTCAGAAATCATTCTAATGTGCTGATTTGGTGCCCAATAATTTTTTTTTATTATTATTATCAATGTTGAGAACAGTTGTGCTACTTAATATTTTTGTGAAAACTGTGATACATTTATTTTTCAGATTCTGTGATGATTATAAGGTTAAAAAAGTAACTGCATTTATTTGAAGTAGAAATCTTTTGTAACATTCTAAATATACTGTCACTTTTTGATAACGTTATTCAGCATCCTTACTGAATTAAAGTAAACTGACTGTGCTACACAACTAATCAAGATAAAATCCTGATGTGTCTTAGTGTGATTATTAAACTGCAAAATGCTAAGTTTTAATTACATTTAAAGTAAATAGGCAGGGTTTTAAGTCCAAACGTAACTTTCACACATCATGTTGCCCATTAAAACTGTTGTTTCAATGATATGTCATGCTTTTTGGTTTCTTTTTAGTCTTTACTTCTAAGAAGCAGATGTTAAATGTTTGTCTTAGTTCAAATCACTGTGTCAGAATAGTTGCAAAATGATTTTTGGACCCAATTGTGCATATATAATATAAGTAGGACTCACGTCACGCC